TGGGTCGTTGAATTCTTCAAGGCTATGCTTTATGACCCCGATTCGAGACGTAAACATTTTTGTAAATTGGTGTCTACAATTTTGGTTAGCAGACAGCTCTCACCACACACGCAAGTCAGTTACATGATTTCTTCTTGATTAAACTTGAAAGTTTACAAGTAATGTTTTCAAGAAATCATTTATGGAATCTTGTAAAAATTCTATAACCTTTTACGTTGGAAAAGTTTTAAAATATGAGTTTCCGTTACGAAAATCATTTTGCCATCATTCGACATTTGAGATGTGAACTGTTTCTCATCAGAGGTAGTATATATTGACTTCATCTCAAACGTTTTGTGTTTAGAGTGACTATCCTTTTAATTTATTTGGAACAAGAATAATTATAGTGAATAAATAATGCTTTCTATAAATTCTTTTACTTATTCTGCAATTGTGATGTGAGGAATCAAGTAGATTCGTCAATGCACTTGAATCCCAGTCATTTCACTTTCTGCGGCTAATTCCTTTATCTGGGCTGATAGAATCAGACTGAGGACATTTAGGTTTTCAAGGGACAAGTGCTCAGCTGCTGCCTTGTAAGGTGATTGTGTATCTCTGTACTTTCTTCATACCGTCATTATTAAATACATCCTTGATCAGCCGTCAGTATTATATTCTCCCTTCACTTGTTAAGGCGGTTTTAAAAGCGACCTAGCTGATGTTCATTCGTGACAAAATCTACATTTCAACTGAGGCGAATCTTTTTAAAAACGCAGAATCTAATTTGTTGCATAATTTACACGTTCTACATAGAGCTTTCTATGTAGTTTATCCCTTTTCTTGTATACTTTAGAGAAAATATTTACAGACTACATATCAATTTTATTTCTTTGCTTTTCGCTTGGAATGTAGGGCTTCAAGATTTCAAGTTTCACTGATTGTTGTCTCTCGCCCGACCTTTCTTCTTTTCCTCACTTGTCAGTAGACTAGAGGAGATTTGGTAGTATGTCTACACTAAAGATCGAACTTACACCTAATTCATGACCGGCGAGCATTTTATCACAGGACGCACATACTAAATAACATGAGGCAATATATTGGTTCTGTAAAGCAAACAAGTTTGTTTGAAGAATATCGATCATTCATCTGAGAATCATTTTAAGAAGATTCTTTTTAATAAATCAGCATTTATTGCGGAGTAACAGGCGATACAGCTTCATTTTTCATACTGACATTTAACTATCCTATCAATAAATAGTAAAGCAAGACTGGTAACCTGTTTCACATCATTCGTATCAACACATATTTCCCTGAAATAAATGAGTTCATATGAGAGTTTGTATATCAACCAATGCCGTTTTATTTGCTGCATAGTTATTATTTTTTAGTTTATGTCATGATAATAGCCAGCATATTATGCATCAGTGTTTCCCACGTGATACGTAAGCAAAACATTTGATCTTGAAGTGGATTACTGGTCACGACAATGAATTTTTATTGGTGCATGCTATTCAGCCGATTAAAATTAAACGACATGTCGCTAGGTTATTCAAATACACTGAAATAAATGTATCGAAATACTACTTCACCCAGAATCCTGTGTATTTTGGATAACTTAGCAACATCCCGGTTACTTTCAGTCATTTAGTCAGAAAATAATTTTCATACCTTAGACCTGAGATTTACTGGTCATGTGAATTGAACATATAATTTAACCGTAGTTTTTAGTTATATCGCCTCTTCCTCTAAGCAATAATTCTTTGACCCCTCAATGTGAAGTAGTTTTCGAGTAATTGAGTAACATATTTGTATATATGTGTGTAAGATAAAGCAGGAGTAGGAATGAACTACAAATCAAGTATTTACCTCAGCCGTCACAGTTACAGAAAGTGGAAAGCGACACTTTTCTCTTCACAGCAAAAAGTGAATACTAATATATGTGAAATTCGCTGGCCCCCTATTTGTGTTAACAATTCAGCCACATTTTATCGAATAAAATGTTCACTGAGATTATTCTAGGTTGACAAGTCCCTTTTTTATGTTACTTCCAACTGCATTTACCAGTTTACATGTGCATGTCAAAGCGCCTATATCGAACCAACAAAAAGGAGGATTTTTCACCACATATCTGAGCACATCCCAAGAAATTCGCATCTGAAAGGGACAAAGGTCCTTAGTACTTAAATTGATTATAACTTGTTAGACAGCTGTCATGTAATCGATGCATTAATATCCTATAAGATAATTAAAGTTCAACATTGCTCCACGTTACCACATATCGCTGAAGCGACAGAAATCAAACAACTGAAATTGAATTTATGCGTCTAAAAGGAAACCGTTGTTAATCTTGCTTTACCTTAGTAAATATACTTTACGTTATTCAATTTTTATGTTTGTTAATTTTGTTATCTGAATACAATTTGGCTTTGACAATGTAATTTCCCACCCTAGTTTTGTCTGCATCTGTATTCTTGACAGAATCTTTTTTGAACTATGTTCCATTAAATTAGCTGAACCTTACATAAGTGTATCGTTCATTTGTAAACATTCGTTAACAGTTCTAGAATACTTCTTAGCCACTTCTATACATACTAAGGACCTTCACTATGACTTTAATTTCTCACTATTCTCCTTAATTTCATGATATTAATATCCATCAACTTTATGCTGAACAGCTACGGCATTTAAATATGTTGTATATTGATATTAAATTGTTCGTGGTTGCATGTAGCTGACAACAGCCAACAAAATAAAATGACATCATTTTGTCCTAACTAATATGTTTTTCCTACTTTGATCAAGTTTATTAGGAGTTGTAACTGTATGAAATTAAAAAAATAAGCTGGGGAAACTTTGTAGGCTGAAATATTCATCTCATTTTCAAATGTTTATCATAAGGTTAGGGGAAAGGGATGTAGGGTCACTTTTTTCATCATTGATCCGCCATTCAACTCGTCCTTACCAATATATATATATATATATATCTCAAAATCATTCCCATTAAGTTGCAAATTCGTTTTGGAATAATCGATCAATTTGAATAAGACACGATAAATAGATAAGCATTTGAAAAGTGAGAATAAGTGACTAATTTACGGTCAAGAGAAATGAAATTAAATCGGAAATTTATTTTTGTTTTAAAAAAGAGAGAGGGAAGAGAGAAAAATGAAAACAAAGGCTTGTTCTCTTCATTCTATTTTATTCATTTATTTAAAAACGAAAAATCTACAAATCAACAACAGCTGATCTATTTTCACTCAGTGAATAGTTAATTAATTAATTAATTCCAGTGAATTTCGAAAATAATAATGGCGGTAATTTCAAAGTTTCAAAAACAAAAGAAACGTTATATTTAAATAGTTAATTATTTAGCTTTATTATAATTCTAGTATCCATTACCAATTGTTGACAGTTGTCGACATAGTTTGTGATAAATTATACAGAAAATAAATTGAATCCATATTTATTAATTAAAAAGAATTGATCAACAAGTGAATTGTCCTTATTGACATATATATATATATATATATATATATATATATATGAGTTTCTTGAATTGTGCAGTGACACAGATGATTTAAAGGCACAGAACAGTTTCATTAATGATTATTATCAATGATTGACACACTGAAATCCATATGACTAACTTTCAAATGTGTTATGTTATGAATTGTATTTCTCAGCTATCATTTTATCAAATAATGTGGCCTACATAATAATGACAATAATGCCTATACATTATATATATTTATATATATATATAAACAGGGTAGTTATAGATAGACTACTAAAAAATAAGAAAACAGTAATACTTTTAAGATGTGTTTTATGATTCTCATTCTGAAGTATTGAATTCCTTTCATGTAGTGCGTTTTTTGTCCATTTACCTTTTTGTCTATTTGCAGTACCGTTTTTGCTAAACTACTCGAAATTGAGATAAATAACGACTCTCTTAGACGCATTAGTGCAAACAATGTTGCAAAATGCATGGGTGCGTGGGCTTACGGAGGCGTCTGCGATCGTACATTTGACCTTTACTCACTCCTTCTACGTATTTATGTATACATATATATGCTTTAATCTAATATCAATCATACTGTAATGGTGAGCATAACTGAAAATAAGTTAATATCTAAGAGCAGTGGACATTAGTCTGCGTGTGTGTGTTTATGTGTAATTTATATGTCTTATATACCATACAGTGTAATACAGTTTAAAATTTAAAATGAAATTTATCATATCTGAATGCTAATCAATAAACTTCATGCTGTGTTTTGATAAAACAGCTCAATAATTGTGAGTGTGCGTGTCTAAATATACGTCTGTCTATTTGTATGATATATGATCATCAATCACGAACATCTGAGATTCCCATTGAATATCACTCAATAATTGACGAAAGTTATCATACCGGCCAAGAGTTCTGTTGATATCCTACACGCACCAACATGAGCGAAATTTTAATACACATAACAGTGACAAGGATAATAAAATAAATTTAATTACCAATTTAATTAATTAATTTCAATTATACAAAAATAAAATCAATATTTAATTGTTAAAATGAAATCGGCTATTTAGTCAGCTAGTACCACTGAAAGCCTTGAGTGATATATATATATTTAAACACAGTCATATAAAAGAAGAGATGACAAACGATTATTCTGTTTTATTCAGTGATCTGATTATTTATTGATCTTTTTTTGTCAACAAATATACTAACACATTCAATAATGCATACAAACAAAAGCTATCTTAATTAGCATTGTTTCACTGACTATCCCCACTTTATGAATTAGGGTAAAAAAGATTGTGTATATAAATAAACCAATCATAGTGGATAGCATTCATGAAAATCAGTCAACAGAGTGTCAGCAAAAAAGGGTATCTGCAAGAATAACAAGGCGTTCAGAATTCCAATAAAAGGTATTTACTTACAGCATTCCTCTTGTAATGACGATATATTTCAGTCACATGCATTTTTAACACAAATACAAGGGGAGCATACATGTAAAAATCAATCAATAAGGTGTTAATTTTGATCGTCGGATAGTTCGATGATTGGCTCTAACTTTTGAACTGTTTGTAGTATTCATTTCATCATGAGCAAATAGTGATGATGATGATAAAATCGGTTCAATGATTTTCTGACGTAGATTAGGTGATAAATTCTCTTTTAAAAGCATTAATGAAGAATTCAACTGGGAAGAAGCGGAGTTTGTACAGTCGGTAAGGCTTTGGTTATCACATGATAGGGAACGATTAGCAACCTTCTCATCGATTTCCGATAGTTTACATGAAGAACTTATGGCCAAATCACTTTTGGTCATCAAGGCAGTAGCAGCGCTTGCCAGACGAACATTGAATGCCCACATTTCTTGATGTATTGCAATGCTGCAATGTTGTAGTCAATATTTTGATTTGGGGATCCCAACCATGAAACAACATGTTTCCGTGTTGTTGTTGTCAGTATCATTACCAATATGACATAATATGTGTTCGTTATGTCCATCCGTTTTAGTTTTTAAATCCGTTTGAGCAGTGGTATGATTTAATTGAGAAAATCAACATGCAAAAATTTTCCATATGACAAGCAGCATCGACAATGGAAATCAGTATCATCGGTGGTTACAACGTGCCAATACATGGGTTAGATGTACATAATGTGCGTGTGTGCATGAGTATATGAATACGTGTATGCGTGCGTGGTAATTTGAAGGAGGGCGAAGAAGAGAAAAGAGAAAAAATGAACAAATAATGGGAAATCAGACCATGCAAAAAGCTATGACTACCACTTTTTCATGCCATTAATTGTCTATTGAAAAATTTAACATGCACTGAAATACTGAATTTCAAATAGGCTTAAAGACAAACTATGCTATTTAAAAGGCAACCATTACCCGTCTAACATAGTAGCGTGAATAATCAGACTCGGTAAACACTGAGAAACTACAGAACTGTTTTCATCACTGAACCTATATGAGTTAGAGAATACCTAAAAACCATGAAACAGTGGAGAGAAAACTGGAGGAAGTTACATTCCTTGAGCCATTATATTCCATTTTGATGACTTAGGGGTACCGTGCACGCCTCAAAACATGAATGGCACTGGACCTGACCCCAATAGGATCTCGCATGGATACTGACGAAGAGTCTGTGGTAGGGACAAAACAACTCTATAGTACTTCATGGTTGGTGACAGTTTATGATGATTTCTAATTTGAAAATAGTGTTGAATACTTACATGTCTACTGCGCAAATATATAAAACCTTTGCTTTTTTATTTTAACTGGTCAAACATACGCATTAAAAATTTTAAAAGACTGATTAGTGACCGAGGAATATTCTTTTCGATAACCTCATTTCCTCTACTGATACATTCAGACTAAACAAAAATAGGAACTACAGCTCCCAGTGGATATTAACTTCCCCATCACTTATTACAATCACTCGTCGTTCTCGGCCTAAATCACGTTTCATAACAAGATGGTCTCATTTTGAAGCAAGTGAACGATGCTTAAAAGAGAAAAATGAGTTAGTTCAGTTAACTACACAATGACCACTGTTCTTTTCTACAGCAGAAATAAATTCAGTAGCATATACTGTGAAATAAAATTATGTATATTTATGGCACTATCTATCAGTCAGTTCGAACGCGTTACTCCTCCAGTGATCTAACTGACTTGGTGAAACTCAGTGACTGCGACTTCTCAATAGAACTCTCGACAACTTCATTCCGTTGTCGGTTACCAGTGATCATTAGGTTAAATTACTGATGTTTGTCTGCAGGAATACTATTGGTTTCAAGCTTGATCAAATTAGTTAGTTCTCATTAGTTTTGAAGTGAATAACTTTTTTTGAGATCTCTGTTGACTGGTCAACTTTATCACTTTTTCATATTAAAACAATCGTGATGTATGTCTAAATGTATACGTTTATATGAACTCATATGCACTTTTCAGACGAATTTCTCCATTAATGCTATATGGAATGCGTTCATGGCAGTTTCATGTTTGGCCGAGTGACAAAGACGATTTCTCGATAAGTATAAAACACTAGAAATAAATATCTCTTTCTATAATTTAACTCCACATTCATTTTATCTATGCTATTGAACTGAAAAGTTCGTAGGGTACTAACTGATGCGCTTATCAGCAGTGCATCCAGTTCGACTCAACTCAGAGAGCTAAGTCAGTTCACATCACACGGCCAATTCAGGTTGGCTGCTTTGTGGTCAATTGTCGGTACCTAGAATCGAAATTTATCACTCGGCTGTCGAAGTTTTTTCGAACCATAATATACAACTTATGAGATAGGCTCCAAACGAATGAAATGATCACCGACCGTTTAAATCCATTTGACCTGTTTATTGTGAATTAATTTCAATCACTCAATAGAATTCCATTATGGATAAGATTTTATTTTGATAATCACACAGTGTTGTACAGTAATATTAACTATTAATATTACTTTATCTTATCCATAATGGAGTTATACCCTACCAGAGTGTCCAAGTTTTATACTTATATCAATAATACATACACTCAATAGAATATCAAGTAGTACCAACTGACGACAGAATCATATATCTATCTTGAGATTACCATCATATTCATCACCATCATCATCGAGAGAGAGAAAGAGAGTGGTTAGATGACTTCAGTATCTTAATTTAAGACTTTTTCAGCAGTACAGTACACCTGATAACCTATGAGAACTTATAATAACACATATTATCAGTATTATTAATCTACACTAGGTTGAACAGCGGGAAATATGTATTTATCAGAGTGCAAATGTCAGTAAACCTCTTTTTGTTTAAAAAAATATCTAACGTTTACCTTTTTAACTTTCAAAACACTTTCTAATTTTAACTTGACCCAGTTAACGAACAAAATGGAAAGAAGGGGAAAAAAGAAAGTTGAGAAGCATATAAAAAGTAATGGTCTAATTGATATAAGCTAAGATAAGATAACTAAACAAATGCTTAAACTGACCTGCTGTTAATAAGAAATTGAGCTAAATTCACTGAATCTAATTTTCCACTAACTGTAATCTTTCTTTCTTTTGCACCATCTTCACAGTTGGATATTTTGATTTGAGCCTTTGATGTGTTCCTGATTTCATTAATTGTTGTACCACCTCGGCCAATAATGCAACCAATCACATCATTCGAAATAATCATCTCTCGGACTACAATATTCTCATCAGTATTAGTCAGTGAAATCAACGGGTTCTGTTGTTGTTGAGCGTTTAGAATAGCACCGATTGATAGTGAGGGAAGACCAAGTAGTGAACTAGTGTTCTGTAAGCCATGCATTGATCTTACAGGATCTGGAGGAGTTGATAACGCTGTATAACTGTTGACAGAACCAATAGACATTGAAACGTTACAGTTTGATGTGTCATTAGAGGAGATATTATTACCATTGGTAAAGCATAGATCAGATTGATTGACAATAAAGTTATTAAGACTGTTGGTTGTTGATGTGGTATATTGTTCTTCTGGTAGTCTGCTTGATATTTTTAGTAAGGTGGCCGGTGTAGAGAACATATAGTTATTCGGAGGTCCAACAATAGGTAGTGCCGTGGCTGCTGCAGCAGGATAGCATCCTAATAAACCAGGACCTAATGATAACTCTGGAATATTTAACGGTTGTCCGATAGAATGAACTCCAGCAGCCAGTGGACTTGTATTTGGTAATGGTGTCAGAATGGATGAAAACTGTGATTGAAAATTAGCTAAATCGATTTGATTTAAGGCAGCGAATAAGTGAACTTGATCTACAAAACAACAAAATAGTGGAAAAGTAAAACAGACGAAAAGAAGTTAGAAGGAAGTTTTACATTTTCTATGTTTCAAACACACAGGCACACACACGGAGGCTTGGAGACAAGTTGAAACAAGTTATTTTACCGACTTCACTTTTGACGTCATTTAAAAGGTCAGCATGTAAAGCAAAACGGCAACAACAAAATTTGGCTAACAATTGTTGAAATTGCATTTTCTTAGTTTGTTTTTCATTACGTATAGCATTTAACAGTGATGCGTTATTTTTTCTGATTTGATGACTAAGGTTCAATGTTTTTTTAACGAAAAAAAGTAGACGTGAAGTTATTCTATGTAGTTAAATCATTTTTAGGTTAATTTGCCCTCCCTACTGATTGATTATACTGGATGTCTGTTGAAATGATGTTAGTCTTCATACAGTGTCAAAGAGTCCTGACTGGAAGGTGACATTTTGGCAAGGATCTGGCATTTCGGTCTCGTATAAATCAATAAATGGGAAGTGCAAATTAACCTATAAACCAAATAACAAGTGAAAACAAATGGACAAGAAATGGCTTTCGAAATTTCAGTGGCCTAGGGATAACACTTTTGGGTTTGAAACGGTGGGTGAAAGGTTTAGCTGTAAGAGGGATCACCATTATTCAATGGGTATGCAGGCGCGTCCAGATGATGAGTCAGTATTATGACGAAACGCGCATCTTGGATTTCATTCATATTGATTAACAAGCAACATAATATATTGTTGGAGATAGCTTATAAAAAACCCTTTGATTAATTTTCTCATATAATGGGAATGTCAGCTGTCCGGAAATGAAATAAAACTGACAGAGTTTTGAGTTATCACCAGAGTTAGGTAAATGGAAGAAGAGTTTGTTGTCACGTTTGACTAGAATACACATTTGTACACACTAAGGAATCATACATCTAGAATCAAAGAGAACTTTAATTCATTTCTATTACAGTTAGTTTACACCGTATGTGTGGTATTTTACATTCTTTGAACGAAAGAGGGTGCCTCAAGATTTCAAGTTTCATTGACTGTACTGTAACTTTTGGAGAAAGGAGGGGTGGAATTGCTACTCTGTTGCCCATTCAACCCTTTTTTCCAGCTTACTGTCAGCTGGTAACCTAGACGAGTTAGATGACTGTGTCGGTTGGGAGTCGAACTCGGACTATCTGCTTAGCTGGCAAACATTGTACCACTGAACTACCTACACATGTGTCATGCTAACACATTATTTTCTATTACTTTGCTTTCCCAGTGGAACATAGGGCTTCAATTTTGAACTCTAAAGTTTCAGTAGCAGTGGTGGTTTTTGAAGAGTTGGGTTGCTAGCCTTCCGCCCGACCTTCCGTATCTTTGTCGGGCTTATAATCGGTTAGGGGAGGCACAGACGTACGCCAACCGCAAATTGAACTCCAGAACACAGGCATGATTGTCGAACATTTTGCCACTAAGCCACCGACGCACTATCACATCCTTATATTCTAATCAAAATGGTCCCAATAGGCAGGAAAGTGTTAAAATGAAAAGAAAGACAAGCCTAATCCTAAATTTTTCAATCCTTGTAATGAATTTTTGATGTGCCATCCGGTTTGATTGTGATACAATCATCCTATTAGATTGAATCTTTCTCACTAAAACAAACTTTAAAATATTGGCTTGTAGCTGTATACCTATTCTTATTTTCTGTAAACTTTACTTCAGACTGTGAAATAAAGTGTAATCGTCTTTTTCAAAGAGATCAAAGAAGCTATAAGGATTTTGATTAGAAATGCATGAACAACAGGTGTTATTATATATGTAAATAATAAAGCCATATAAAGAAATACCCTACCTTATTTTTTTATTCTGAATATTGATTGTTAATTTAAAAAAAAAAGGAGGGGAAGAAATTATGTAATAAATAAAAAGGATAATACCCAACATCAGTGATTCTGGAGTTCACTTGGATGAAGCACTTTCAGACAGGTGCGATTAGGCGTTTAATTCACTTTTTTCGCTTACATTGAGATACATAGCTTGATCAAGAAATTGCATTTAGATAGTTAATTTCCTGCTTATAACACTCAATTATCAATAGATATTCCTTGAATTCTCAGTGGAACAGCAGCACGTTACCATTCTATCCCAATATCATGAATTAAAAGTCCATCTGGGCAAAGAATATCTTTCTTCAATAACTTCCATTCAGGTTCTTACAATTATTTATAAGATATAATATTTATTATCGTTACAATAATGGCTAGTTATGTGGTGGATACATTTGCACATTGAATAACAGATTAGTTATGGAGTATCAAAATAAATAGTCGTATTTGTATGACAAACGCGTTAGACTGAAATCGATTACGAAATTTTGTGAAATGGGAGACGATGGAGGTGGTTAGTCATAATAGATTCGTAGAATGTGGGGTAGGAAAAATTGACAAGTAAGTTCAAGATTATAAATTGTGTCAGGCGAGTGGCTATTGCAAGGCAATGTGTATTATAGAGGAGGTAATAAGATTGCAATGGTAAGTTCGTCGTGAAATACCAAATAATTGAGATGAAACAGGTGCAGGCATGCATATATTGAGAAAGGAAATAATGTGACTAAGAATAAACCCGAATAGTATAAACGGAAAATTTGATAATATTGAAAGAATGCAGAGATTAAAGGTAGAAATTACAACGAATACAAATAATAATGATGACTGCAGTAATAAGTAAGTCAGGAGAAAAAACAAGGGATAGGGAGAAGAGGCATTCTAGGTGGGAAGAAGGAACTTTAATGTAAGTCTGGTCACGGTAGGAACAGCGTTTGAACGTGTTCCTTTTGAATAGAAAGTTCGAGTTTAGTCGACCTTATTGCAACAGCTTCAGCTTAGTGAAGAATAAGTAAGCGATGTGTAAGTGAATTCGGTATTAAACCTGAAGGCTGTGTTAGCATTGATGTGATGTCCAGTACCAATCAAGTGTGACGTAAAGGAGCTTTTCATGCATTCGATTTCCCCCTTTATGAACCAGGCTGGTAAATATTCTCGAACCTGCAGATGAACCTGCCTAATAGTATGCCCTATACAACTTGAACCACAGGAACAGTTGAAATGGCATATGCATGAGGAAGAGGTAAGATTAGGTAAGACTTCTTTCAGTTTCTGAGTGAACTCTTGATGGCTGCTACTGAAGTACAGCAACAGATATGAGGAGTAGAAAGTTTTCTCTATCGTTTTGCTTAAAGGCTGCAATAGAATCTCCGCAGAGGTATCTCCCCTGAATTGTAGACGTGAGAATAAAGGCTTTTTCTCAGCGATTGCCAGTTCATGTTTATGGCAGTTGCAACCGATGTTGACTTTAATAAAATTCCCTTGAAGTGTCTGAAAACCAAATCCCTACGTAATCCTTCATCATTCATGGACGCAGTCGTAGAATGCTCGTCAAGCACGCATGCAGCCCGGGGTTCGATTCCTGGCCGACGCACTGCTTTTCCTTGCTAGGCCATTCATAAAGACGGAAGGCTGGGCATGACGCTAGCGACCCTATCTTTTAAAAATAAACGCCACTTTTACGAAAACTTCAATCCCCTATGTTGAAGCCTTTTGTTACACTGGGAACGTATAGGAATAATAAAGATTATAATAAGTCCGGATAGTATAATCAGAAAATTTCGAAATTTTTAATGTTTGAATGATAACCTTGAACTGACTTGTCAATTTTTCCTACCCCACATTCTACGAATCTATTATGACTAACCACCTCCATCGTCTCCCATTTCACAAAATTTCGTAATCGATTTCAGTCTAACGCGTTTGTCATACAAATACGACTATTTATTTTGATACTCCATAACTAATCTGTTATTCAATGTGCAAATGTATCCACCACATAACTAGCCAATATTGTAACGATAATAAATATTAGGTTTTACAATTGTAAGAATCTCTGATTTCATTTTCAGCGGAATCTGCGACCACCCATGAGCATTCGTTTCCTCTTTGCATCATCTCAGTGTCTCATAGTGCGCATGACCTCACTTTTTCTGTCCGATTTCTACTCAAGACTCTCATTTATGACTTCACTCAATGGTCTCCTCAGAATAGTGCATTACACATTTGTCTTTATTGCCTTTGACATATTTGTGTGTCAATAAATTGTCGGCTAGTCCTATGCCTTCCAGAGTTCTCTATTCCCAAGTAGAGTGAAACACATATCTTAGATCCTAGTATTATCCATCACGTTAGAGATATCTGAAACTGGTTCTGCTGAAATATAGAATTTGGTAAGCTCAGCGAATCTACTAAGACTTAAAGTTTCAGTTCTTTTAAAAGATATTGTTGCTTCATTTCTACAAACCTAGATGCGTTAGGCTATCACCTTGTTCAGATTAAATTCATTGATTCAAGTCTTAGAAAATAGCTCAGTTTGTTCAACCCTAGTTAAGCTAAAGAAGGTCGCCTGAAGTTCTGATGAGAATTTGTGGCACTTGCGATCTACCAAGCTGGCTGTCAGGAAAAATATTTATTTATACAACAAGCAGGCAGATGTACTATATATTTGCACTTTAGCAGAAGTTAGGATTCATGGTCTATTGGAATCCGTCTTAGTGGCTGAATGGTCAACAGGCTGACCTGCAGGTCCTGGCTTCTACCTTCGGAAGTGCGGTCATGAGTGCGTACTGGTGAGAAGTTTCAAACTTGGAGGAAACAACTGTCCAGTACTTGTTGGTTTTCAGGGCTTATCTGACTGATGTGCCTGTTCATGATCAAACTTGGAAGCAATCAAATCTCCATGATTCAACACTTAATAATTTTGTTCTGTCAGCGTCTGTAGATTGAGTGTATTTTTGACTAATATATTAAGCTTAGTATAGAGAATACTTGTAATGGTGCCATACTTTTTAAATTATAGGAATTCACGAACACTTTAAGTTCGTTATTGATTTCATCTGAAAAAAAATTGCATTTTTTCGCGGGTTTTCACTCTTTTCTCTTTTTTTGTGTTTTTGTCATG